CAACCTAAAACTCACAACAACCCCCACAAAAGAGAATAAAACTACTACACAGAAGACTCAAAGCTCCTACCATCGTAACATGACCAGATGATGTAATAATGAATGCGTAGTTCGATTCTAAAAACAAACCTTGCAGCCGAGGGAACAGAACCTGGAACAGTCAGGCAGGCCACGGGCACAGATTTCGCACGAGTACGTGACTCCCTTGGCCGGCCTCGGCTGGGGCCTCTCGTTGAGGAACACGATCTTGGCACTGTTGATAACGTACGTCTGAATGCACGATATGTCGATATATTTCTGAATCTCATTTACCCTCACCACATTATGATACGAAGAACGCCTGATCTGCAATCACTTCAAACTCAATTCTATTAAATCCCAATGAACTTTTACAAACAATCCCCACACAAAACACATCAAGTTTCTTTCACTACAAAGATAGAGTGCGAACAATAGAGTTACCGGCACCTGGAGAACACGATGGCCCTTGTGGTGGACCAGACAGTAGGAACAGAAGGCATTGTCAATGCAATCTAAGCAGAACAAATTGCACTCGCTTTTATGAGAGTCCAAATGAAGAGGGCAGGTAATGAAGTAATCGGCCCTCAGCATTGGTTTCAGCCATTCAGGTCCAATCACTTCATTTTGCATTGTTACAATAGGGCTCACCTATTCAAAAACAATGTCCAAAAACCCAAAAAAAAAAGAAAATAAAAATAAAAATAAAAATAATTAAAAATCTACTTCAGTAATTACTAATTAGCTTGTAATGCACAAAACCCATTACAATACTCGCTTATACTTGGTTGAAAAATTGGATCTTTTTCCGAAATAAATTTATTTTTTAGTGGGAGAAAGTGCTGTGTTCAGGGCCATAGAGTGAGAGAATGAACTGAATACCATGAGCGAGCGTTGCGGAGCGAACAAAGCGACGGCCTTTTGCCGGTTTCTGAGTAGAATCACACGGAACAATAATCTGCCCAAAAAAATGAAAGAGAGAGGCGCATTAGCATATGTTGTGTGTGAATAAAAATGTGAAACAGAGTGTGAAGAGAGGGAAAATTCGCCGCCACAGAGGAAACAAGAAAGATAGAGATAAAACCCTCTTCGAGAAACCTCGTCGACAAGACAGATGACGATGAAACATCAACTAATATCCAGAAAACCCGAGTAAAAACAAGGTATTGAGTGTGTGTGTGTGTGTGCGCGTTTGAATGCGTACCAGAGTGACGACGGAGGAAGACGGCTAGGCTTTGACGGTGGTGACGGATTAGAGGTGAACGACTACCAAATGCAAGAGAATTTTATAAGGCGGTCACTTTATGCGAGCAGAATTAATACGAAAAATGAATATAAAATTCTCCCCGTATATCCTCCCTA